TTCGGAGAATAGTGCCGATCTTCTCTGGATTAGCATCGATCCCTCGCTCGGAAACGAGAAAACCGAGTAACTTGCCACCAGGAACTCCGAATGTGCACTTTGATGGATTGAGCTTGATATCATACCTTCTGAGGTTGGCAAATGTTTCGGCGAGGTCAGCGAGCAGGTCGGAACCTTTTCGTGACTTGACGACGATATCATCCATATACGCTTCCACATTCCGACTGATTTGAGTGAGTAGACACTTCTGAATCATTCGCATAAATGTGGCTCCGGCATTCTTGAGGCCGAATGGCATAGTGATATAGCAGAAGCACCCGAATGGAGTGATGAAAGCTGTTTTTACCTCGTCGGGTCCATACAGACGGATCTGGTGGTACCCGGAGTAGGCGTCTAGAAAAGACAATCTCTCGCATCCCGCGGTCGAGTCAACAATTTGATCTATGCGAGGGAGAGGAAAATGATCTTTCGGGCAGGCCCGGTTGATGTGCTTGAAATCAATGCACATTCGGAGTGATTTGTCCTTCTTAGGAACCATGACGACATTAGCGAGCCACTCGGAGTGGTATATCTCTCGGATAAATCCTGCCGCCAACAGTCGAGCCACTTCCTCACCAATGGCTTTTCTCTTCTGGACGGCGGACCGCCGAAGATGCTCTTTGACTAGTTTTGCAGATGAGTCGACTCTTAGGCGATGCTCAGCCAGTCCCCTGGGAACACCTGGCATGTCAGCGGGCTTCCATGCAAAAATGTCCCAGTTCTCACGGAGGAACTGGATGAGCGCTTCTTCCTATTTCGGGTCGAGTGTCGTGGAGATGTGGGTCGGAGCTGCATCGGGGTCGGTCGGGTGAATGTGAACAGGCTTCGTCTCACCGGACGACTGAAATGCAGATTCTGTGGCGGGTTTCTTGGATCGCAGCAAGTCACTCGGATCTGCGTTTTGCTTGTATTCTTCGAACTCAACCGCTGTCACCTGGGAATCAGCAATCTTTGAGCCCTTCTGAAAGCACTCTTCTGCCTTTTTCCGATCACCGGTGACAGTGATCACTCCTTTGGGGCCGGGCATCTTCAATTTGAGGTACACGTAACATGGTCGAGCCATGAACCGTGCATAAGCTGGTCTCCCCAAAATGGCATGATATGCACTCTGAAAATCCACGACCTCAAACGTCAACTTCTCTTTGCGAAAATGTTTCGAATCACCAAACACCACGTCCAGAGCTATTTGGCCGAGTGACTCGGCTTTCTTCCCTGGTATAACTCCATGAAAGCTCATGTTACTAGTGCTCAGTCGGGACATCGGAATGCCCATTCCTTTCAGTGTGTCTGCATACAACAAATTCAGCCCACTACCACCGTCCATCAGCACTTTTGTCAGTCGAGTGCCTTCGACAACTGGATCGACCACCAAAGCTTGCCTCCCAGGGGTGGCAATATGAGTCGGGTGATCAGATTGGTCGAATGTGATGGGTGTTTGGGACCATCTCAGATAATTTGCTTTTGCTGGGGCAACCATGTTCACCTCACGGTTAATAACTGTCAATCGACTCTTGCTTTCCACATCTGCAAAGATCATCAGAGTGGAGTTGATATGCGGATATCCTTCCTCACTGTCCTCCTTGTCTTCGGCCTTGTCCGACTCCTTTTCCTTGTCTTTAGACTGTTTTCCCTGAAACTGCTGGATCAGGAGTCGACATTAGCGAGTGGTATGCTTCGGGTAGATGATATTCCCCTCTTCGTCTTTCTTCGTGTGGATGTGACTCGGCATATCCATCACGTCGTTCCCTTCTTTATCCTTTACCTTCTTAGGGTTCCAGGATCCTTTTGGTTTCCCTTTAAACTTTCCCTGAGTCACGGCCAGAGCCTCCCCAGGAGCTGCCGGTTCAGCCTTCCGCTTCTGTTTCCGACTGGTGTTTCCCTTTTCCGACTGACTCGGCTTGTGCTTGCCGCTTCGGAGTTGGTCTTCTTCTTCGCCGTTGGCGTACTTGGTAGCAATCTCCATCATCCGACTCAAGGTCATGTCACCGGTTCGACCAAATTTCAAACTCAATTCTCTGTTCTTGACACCATCCTTAAAGGCGCAGACTGCCTGATGATCAGACACATTCTCCACAGTATGGTGCAAAGTGATCCATCTCTGAATATACTCCCTGAGGGTCTCATTGGTCTTCTGCACGCAGACTTGCAGCTCCGTCAATCCAGCCGGTCGCTTGCAAGTTCCTTCAAACGTTCTGATGAACACTCGGGACAGATCTTCCCAAGTGTAAATGCTGCTAGGAGGTAATTGAGTCAACCATGCCCTGGCAGAACCTTCCAGCATGAGGGGAAAATGCTTCATGGCCACCTCGTCGTTTCCACCACCAATCTGAACCGCCACTCGGTAGTCCTCAAGCCAAGTTTCAGGCTTAGACTCACCAGTGAACTTGCTGACTCCTGTTGCCAACCTGAAATTGGGAGGGATCACTGCGGCTCTGATAGCTCTGCTGAAACATTCAGGACCAGAAACATGCACTCGACTGCTCGTGGGCGCATCTCTGTCGAGTCCACCTCGATGGGCTCTGTTCCGGTCGACCAAGCCTTGCACGATAATGGATCGCGCGTCGAAGCCTGGCTCTCTAGGGTCGACTGGAACTCTTCGCCCCGCACTGAGCTGACGTCTGTCATCTTGCTGCCGAGGAGCGTAAGACCCACCCCTCGGAGGGGAATTGGGCACTCGACGCCTATCATCTCGGTCGTATCGGTCTCCATATTGGTCTCGCCGATTCTCGCGCCCTTCACGCCGCAGAGGCGATCTGGGGCTGTGAGCCGACTGAACAGTATTCATAGCGACGGATCGATTGTGAATTCTGTTGCGCGACTGCGATACGGCCGAATTCTGATCGCCTGCTGCCCGGAGCAGATCCCTGATCTGCATCAAGCCTCTGCCAGCTTCCGACTGAGAGGGCTGGATGGACTCTGCAATACGGGTCACAACTGCTAAATTCTGGACTGGGGTTCGATATACCTGAGTCGGCGGGAAGAGTTGACGTCGACCGGTGTCGGGAACTCGTTGCCGCGCGCGCTCGTCGAGTGCTCGCTGAAGATTCTCCAGTCGAGTGCGTTCGGCCAAATTGGCCAAACGCGCCTCCTCCAAGGCGCGAGCCTCGGGGGTTTCTCCTGCGATGGGAGTACGCAGGGCATCCACGTTCCTGCGGCGAAGTTCCTCTCTTTGCAGAGAGTCGAGTGGCTCGGGCTGGTACTCTTCGTGGTCTCGTGCAGGGTCGCCTCCGTCGCCTGCCCCACCATCACGGGCGAAGCCAGGGGGACTGCGGGACCCGTCGACCATCAGGATTTCCGCCGCTGGATCACTGCTATCGCACTCGGATGCAGTCTCTACGGAGCCAGTCGACAGATCGAACAGGCCGTAGAGAGATTCGTCGGGCTCGATTGCCGCAACTTGGGTGGTGGCCGTCTGGCGAGCCACCGCGTGCCTCACCCACCGCTGAAGCCTCGACCGGCCCGAGCGCTTACGCTGGCGGGAGACCGGGAGGGTGGCCGACGGGGGAGTCGACCGATACGGGGTCGACGGTTGCCGCAGCAGAACGCCGCGGACACATGCGCGAAAATGCGTCGCACCGCGGACGGGGAGCGCATCGACGTCGAGTGGAGCCTCCTGGAGCCAGGCGGAGTCGTCGGCGACGAAGGTGAGAGCACCGAGACGGATCTCTCGACCCTCGACCAAAACTCCAGCAGCCACCATGATGAAAGTACTCGGAAGAATCGCAACTTCTCCACAAAATCGCTAAAACACCTGCCCCACGGTGGGCGCCAACTGTCGTGGTTCTAAGTCTGACAGTAGAGTGGGGGTAGGTATGGAGATGCAAGGTCCTAGCTATGGAGAGGTTGTAAACACAAGAGATGTACGAGTTCAGGCCCTTCTCGGAGAAAGTAAAAGCCCTACGTCTCGGAGCCCGGAGGCGGTCGAGTGGATCTTGCGTATATGGATTACAAGGTGCCGAACCCTTCTGCCTGTGGAGGGGGGTGGCTTATATAGAGTGCGCCAGGTCCCCAGCCAGCCCACGTAATGAAGGGTTTAAGGTGTATTAAGTCCGGGGCGTTACAGATAACGCCCCACATAAAGTGTCTTTACTATCATAAAGTCTACTTAAGTACAGGCCGTTGCAGTGCAGAGTGCTTCTTGACCTTCTGGTGGTCGAGTGAGTCTTCGTGGTCGAGTCATTCAAGTCAGTCGAGTGAGTCCCTCGTAGGTCGACTTCTAAGGGTGTCCTCGGGCAGGGTACTTAGATCAGGTCCGTGACCCTACCCTAGGTATGTGACTCCATCAACCGGTGTGTGGGCGAACACTCTCACACACCACACACACACGACTTGTCCTACGTGGCACACAAAATCAGCCAAAACGTGTCAAGATTCGTGCAGAAACTGTTGAACGGTGATGGGTGCGTGTGGTCGAGTTGCCAGACACTCATACGTGTGGGCCTTAACATTTCCGTTTTTCAATGAGATGAGGAAGGGACATGATTGATTTCAAGATACTAAGTGTTGTCAACAAATTGAAGTAAAGAAGTAGGGTCTTTTTGCAAAAATATAACAATTTACCTCATAGTCGTTTGATGCAGATATGATAATCAAAAATAACAGATGACACACAACATCATCAGCAACTGAGTTTTTTTTATAAAAGTAGAGAAAAGATGAGTGTATTTATCTATGTATAATACGTGTGTTTTTGTACCGTGTTAAAAAACACAATTAATCTTGATGTAAAAAACAATTATAATCGTGTGTGTCTGTGCCGAGCCCACATTTCGAATCGATCCCCAAATCCGAAAACGCGGAGCCTTCACTCCGTCCGAAAGCCGAAAATTTCGGAGTCCCTCCCGTCCTCCCTTGCTCTCGCCGCTATCCATTCCCGCACAGCAAAACACCCAAATCCAAATCCAAGTCCAAACCCCTCTCCGCCATTCCTCGAATTTTCCATTTTCGATATTCATGCTGCAATGGTGCGTGAGCTCCGCGCCGACTCCTTCTACGCCCGCCTCCGCGCCGCCGCCGCAGCGGTTTCCTCCGCCTCCCCTCTCCTGATCCTCCCGTCCGCGGCCGACGCCGACTCGCTCTGCGCGCTCAGGATCCTCACCCACGTCCTCTCCGCCGACTCCGTCCGCTTCTCCGTCTACCCCGTCGCCTCCACCGCCGATGCGGCCGAACTCCTCGCCTCCTTCTCCGGCGTCGCCGCGTCCTCATCCCAGTCGCCGCCGCCGCTCTGCGTACTACTCATCAACTGGGGCGCGCGCTGCGACCTCCTCCGCGGCGTCCTGCCGCGCGGCTCCACCGCCTTCGTCGTGGATTCGCACCGCCCCGTGAACCTCCGCAACCTCGCCGCGGGGAACGACCGCGTCGTCGTGCTCTTCACCGCTGATGACGAGCGCGCCGCCGACCTGTCGTATGACTTCGACGTGTCCTCCCTTGCCGACGCCTCCGACCTAACGGCCGAGGGGGACGCGGACGACGACCACCTCCGCGCCTCCGAGGAGTCAGATGCCTCGGATTACGATTCCGACGCCGAGGGAGGGAGGAGGAAGAGACGGCGGGCGCCCGATGACGCGGAGGCGGACGGCGGCGATCCGGTGAGGCTGTTCGGGAGGCTGCGGCGGGAGTACTACCGGCTCGGCACCTTCCACGGGAAGCCGTCGGGGTGCCTCATGTACGACCTCGCCCACGCGCTGCGCAGGAACACCAATGAGCTCCTCTGGCTTGCCTGCGTCTCCCTCACCGACCAGTTCGTCCACGAGCGCATCACCAGCGAGCGCTACCACGACGCGGGCATGAAGCTCGAGCAGCACATCAACGGATCCGGCAACCTCGATCCGTCCGGCGTCGGCTCCGTGGTCACGCTCAAGGACGGGACCAGGATCCGTGCGCCCGAGACCTCCCGCATCGCCTACGAGGACGAGCCGAGGCTTATGCTGCTGCGGGAGTGGAGCTTGTTCGACTCCATGGTCTGCTCCTCTTATGTCGCGACGAGGCTCAAGACGTGGAGCGACAACGGGCTCAAGAAGCTGAAGCTTCTTCTGGCGAGGATGGGGTTCCCGCTCGCCGACTGCCAGAAGGGGTTCCAGTACATGAGCATGGAGGTCAAGAGGAAGATGCGCGATGAGTTTGACCGCTTCCTGCCGGAGTATGGGCTCACCGAGTTCTACTACAGAAGCTTCCTGCGGGTGCACGGGTACAAATCCAAGGTCTCTGCTGCGGATGTTGTGTATGGCGTCACAGCTTTGCTTGAATCTAAGAGTGCCGAGTCCAATGACTCGAAGGAATGTTCTGCTGCTGAGCAACTCTGGGTTGCATACTCTGCGTTGTCTCCGAGCAATGTGGATCAGCTGCAAAAAGGAATGCAATCTGCCATTGAGATACAGAGGGCTATATTGAGGCAAGGGAGCTCGGCGATCACCAAGAGCGGCTTCATACGGAGCGCAAAGAAGTTCAGGTGGGTGAAGCTCGATGACCCAGTGGACACGAGCAAGCTGTGCCACCCTCAGGCGCTTACCAAGTTCTGCTTCTTCCTGATGGATGCACTGAAGGAACGGGGTGCAAGGATGAAGCCACTGGTGTGTGCTTGCTTAGGGAGGGAGCCTGAGAAGGTGCTGGTAGTTGGGGTATGGGGGAAGCCCAGGCTTGGGGCAGTTCAGGGGAATTCGTTCGGTAATGCATTTAGGTCAGCGGCAGAGGAGATTGGCGCAGACTATTTCCATGACATGTTTGAGTCATCATGGATTGTTCTTGACGTTGTTGCTGTCAGTTCTTTCATGATTCGGTTAACGGAGAAGCTGTAATGATGGTACGCGCTGGTCTGTGCTAGTTATCCTTTTTAGCTCCTAAACAAGAAGGGACTTGAGGCTTGATTCTGCCTCCAAATATAGGAGCTTCAGCCCTGGCGGTACATGACATGTATTTTCTCCTTATCCACCTGAACTTTTTCATGATCATGTTTTGCAGCGAGAAAGGAGGTTTTTCCACTGTTAGCCACTTCAATTAGCAAATGATAGATCAGTAAAATTCAGATGCAAACCTTGTCACACTATGGAGATGGACAAGGTATATGGTACTGTTGACCTGATAATGTACATTGTATCTGTGCTTGCATAAGCACGTGCCTTCTGATTATAGAAAAGTGTCGTCTCCTCTTTTTGTGCCACTAGAGTTACTTGAAGTTCTTGAAGTGTGTAAACTAACGAGCCTTTTTTGAATATGTGGTGTTGATGTTATTAGCACAAGCTAACTTAAATGGATATTTGTTTTAGGACTGTGGGGCTGTTGCCTCACAGTAAATAGTAAAGAAAAATGCATATTTGTTTTTAAAAAAATTGTGTGGATGCATTTGGTTGTCTCTTTGTAATACCCCAGGAGGGAGAAGAGGGAGAGGAGATCCAGATCGAGGCAAGAGGGGAGAGGATGGCTTGGAGAGGAAGGAGGATGGATTGCAGAGGAAAGTTTCAGACACAAGAATTGTCCACACGCACACACACCCACGGCCACAGGCGGCCTCCTTTTACACCACCCACTCACGCCACTCGGGTGGCCAGCTGGCTGGGCCCACCAGCCAGCTCTAGAGCACACTAATCAGAGGTTAGGTGTCTTCTTCTTCTTCTTCTTCTGGCTGGGTACGGGCGCGTGTTCGCGGGGACCGCGCCCTCCACCAGCGTGACGGCGTGGTCGTACTGGCGATGCGGAGGGAGCCCATGCGGTGCCGCGAACACGTCGGCGAATTCCGCGAGCAGGTCCGTGAGCGGTGTTTGACTTGCACATTTGCGAGCCGGACGCAGTGCGGGGCCGCAGGTGTCCACCATGGCCATGGCCCAAACGTCGTTGCCGGCGATCATCTTGCGCAGCTCCTCGGACCCGACGGCCTTGAGCGAGGTGGCCGGCTTGGGGAACACGCCGCGCAGAGTGACCTCTTCGCCATCGTGCTAGAACTTCACCCACCTGTCCTGCCAGTGGCACGTCATCGGACTGTTCTGGGCAAGCCAGTCCATCCCTAGAATGCCGTCGTACGTTCCGATCTCCAGCTTGCGCATGGGCGTCGCGAAGGTGTGGCCCTGCATCCACCACTTGAGGCCGGGCACCATGCGCGTGTAGGTAAGCTTGTCGCCGTTGGCCACGCGCACCTCTGTCGGCGGCATCTCTTCGGTGGCGAGGCCGAGGCGATCGACAAACGCCTTGTTGGCGAAGCTGTGGGTGCTGCCCGAATCGAGCAACAGGAGCATGACCTGGTTTCCGACGAGGGCGCGCAGCCTGATTGTGGTCGTGGAATCCGTGCCGTCGAGCGCCTGCGACGAGAGGAGACAGCATTCTGGCGCGTCCGCGGCCAGAGCAGGGGGTTGCGCCGTCGGGCCCGGGTCGTCGAGCAGCTGTATGGCATGGATGGTGTCGTCTGAGAGCACCTCACCGTGGTCACCCACGTTGATTGTGAGCAGTTGCGCGGGCTGGGCGCAGCGATGCTCTCTGGAGTAGTGATCGCCGCACTTGAAGCAGAGGTTGTTCGTGCGACGGAAATCGCGTAGCTGCCGTTCCCGCGCGTACTCGTCTCCTTGGGCGCGAACCGGCGCGGCCACGACACGCTTTGGCAGTGCCGCTGCAGCTGCTGTTGGTGGTGGGCGGCCCGCAGGCGTGATGCGGGGTCGCGCGCGGGTCGTGCCCAGCTCTTCCTCTTGGATGCGCGCGAGCACCGAGGCGCGTGTGATGCTTGAAGGTGCTTGAAGACGCACCGGGGCACGCAGCTCGTCCTTCAGGCCGAGGAGGAACTGCGTCACGAAGAACTTGGTGTTGATTGACGGATCGAGCACGAGCAAGTGGTACATTTGCTCGTCGAACGCGGCGCTGTACTTGGCGACGGTGCCTGTTTGGCGGAGTTGAAGCAGCTTGTGCATCACCACCTCAAACTCGTCGGTGCCGAACTCCTCCAGGATCGCCGACGTGAAGACGTCCCACGTGATGTTGCGATGCGTCTGACGGAACGCTTGAAGCCAGTGCGCGGCCTGGCCGTCGATATAGAGCGCCGCGGTGGCGACCCAGTGGTGGGCAGCCACCTTGTAGAGCTCGAAGTAGGCGAGGCAACGGTCCAGCCACAAGTATGGTGCTGTACCGTCGAACTTGGGAAAATCGTGCTTCGGGGGTTTGTGGAACTCGTTGGTGTGGTAGCCCGTCGGAGACGCGGTCGGCGCGGCGACAAATCCGCCCTGTGGTGGCACGGGAAGGAGAGGCGGGCGGTGGTCGCCCAGACGTGCGTGCGACGACAACGGGCGTGCCAGATCTGGTACGGGGCGCGGCGATGGAGGAGGAGGAGGGGGCGGTGGAGGTTGCTGTTGAGGTTGCGCGGGCTGGTGAAGATGCGTGGTGACCGAGCCTGATTGAGAGGCCGATCCTTCCACCGTCTTGCGGGTGAGGTCGAGGTCCGCCTGGGTCAGATCAAGCTGCCGCGAGAGGCCGCGCATCTCCTGCGAGATCTGCGCGTTGAAGGCGGCCTGGAGCTCGATCTGTTTCTCGTGCGCCACCTTCTGGTCGTCGATTCTGGCGAGCAGCGTCTCCAGCATCTTGGTGATGTTGGTGTTCCCCTCGTCCATGGCGGCGAGAACTTGCCGCGTCGCCGCCGAAGCCTTGGAAGGAGCCGTTGTCCTGCTCGAAAGGGCGTCGAACCCCGCGACGGATTTCATGCGGCTCGCCGGAGCAAACCACACCGGCGCGGTGGATGTTACCGATTCCCAATCAAGCAAGGAAGAAAAATTTCGGCGGTTTGATGGCTCTGATTACCAATTGTAATACCCCAGGAGGGAGAAGAGGGAGAGGAGATCCAGATCAAGGCAAGAGGGGAGAGGATGGCTTGGAGAGGAAGAAGGAGGATGGATTGCAGAGGAAAGTTTCAGACACAAGAATTGTCAACAAGCACACACACCCACGGCCACAGGCGGCCTCCTTTTACACCACCCACTCACGCCACTTGGCTGGCCAGCTGGTTGGGCCCACCAGCCAGCTCTAGAGCACACTAATCAGAGGTTAGGTGTGACACTCTTGATCAGGATAGATGTTTATAAATGTATAATAGTCCTTTCACAAATTTAGTAGGTCATTGTAAGAATTTCATTTACCCAATCCTCCTCTCCCATATTTTTCTTAGTTCTTACAATGCGAAGACGATGCTATAGAAAACAAAGCCCTTCTGTTGCAGCAAATAATTTATTTAGTTGTTCCACAAAGATATAATCAATTCGTTGAATGCCACTCAAAATGTGTTAGTTGTTGCAAACTTGATTAGTCTGAAAGAATATACTTCAAATTTTTTATCAAGCATGAAACTGAGTGATTCAGACCATGTTGGTTGATATGCCAGTTGCACCGCGCTAACCAAGTTCCATAATGTGGAAATCTTGGCATCTTAATCAACTATTGCAAATTCATAGGTCCATAAGGAGTACAGTAAAAATATATACATGAAGTGTTTGTTATCTGTGTGGATCATCTCAATTGTTTATGACTTGATAAATAAGTAGATGATCTTTTTGTATGGCGACTCTTGCATCCTATGATTGACATCTATTTATAAAGAGAGAAAACGACAGTCCAGCACTCTTGCTAGACTTGTGAGTTGTGATTAAGGATCTTAGTTTCTTCTCCTAGAGCTTTTCTTGTTCAAAGTGGTTATGTGGGTTTGCCTCTTTGCAATGCACCATGTTTATATGTAATTTTGCCATCTGAATCTGAGTTTTATTTGAATTTTAACTCTTCCCTGGAGGTGTCTTAGAACAGCTACAAGTTAACAGAGCCTTTTCTGCCTTTCCTGACGTTGCCTGCATCCATGCTCAAATCCTCAATTGTAAGTTTCTCTTCTTACCATATACCTGCTTGATTTTGGGTTGTTAGGAACAAACAGATCTTCATTTGTATCATCACGTCAGTATTACAAAATTTATAGTATTGTCAGGTGAATTTTCCCTCCTCTTTTACTCCGGTTCTTTGGTAAGTCAGGCTGCAGGGGAGTAAAAAAACATTTGTTTTTTTCGTCCTTGCTCTACTGGTTTACCTAAACAGACCATGCACTTTACAACCTGTGGCTATTTCTGTCACGTGCAACACATATTTTCCTGTGCTTAGGTCAGCTTAGGAAGTTAGAATGGCCCATCAACTGTTGACAAAGGTCAACACATGCTGAATAACCATTTAACTAACTTTGATGCATTCTTCCATACAACTGCATTACTTCTGGAGTTAATGCATTCACTGATTCACATGGGCGATATGAACAATTGAAGTTTGACAATGACATCAAATTATGTATCTTTTTTTAAAAAGGGGATGGCCCCGGCCTCTGCATCAAACGATGCACACAACCATTTTATTCAAAATAAAAGGTCAAAGTCACCGAGTACCAAAAGGTTTACAGCAAAAATGCAAAATACGACGAAACCGGTCAAAAACAAGATTACATAGCTCATAGCTCGTCCACAATCAAATTATTTATTTTGTAATGATTACTCCATCAATACTACATTCTAGTGTTTTCTGAAGGAAAAAGTCTAAATAAAAAAATGATATCGACTGCTGTTGCTATCAGATTGTATTGTTTTGATTTGAAAGAGCGAACCGTTTCTGATCACATCTTGGGATCACATCTTGAAGAGAGAGCTTTGTACTGTCTCTGTTCAGTTTGCACCTATCAGAAATGCCACTTCAGAGTTCCTTACTAATATATTGACATGTAACTTGTTGCCTAGGGTTTGCTTGTGTGGCAGTGTTGCCTGACGTGCTGTTCTTCCTTAGGTCAAGCCTGTCCTTCTCAATT